ACTAACTACTAACCCTTCTAGTTAGTAGTTTGACTAACTGACTAACTATTTCAGTTCATAGTTTAAATAACTACTAACTGTTTTCGTTAGTAGTTAGTACAAACTTAACGGAACTCCGACAGCCCTAAGCTGTACTAACGATTCATAATGCATTGGATAGAGTAAAGCATATATCACGTTAAATAAGAGTGTTCATATTATTTTGCATTAATTCAAAGTAAACGCATCGTTTACGATGTTTCAGTTATAAACTTAATGCGAGTAACACGCGCACAGTAACGCATTACAACTATGCTTGCAAAAAACAATGATCTTTAATGCCTAGATAATGCTCTATAACGCCTTAATACACAAGATTTGGTCTTTAACTCATTACAATAAAATAATTATATATTCTGACTAGCCTCCATTTCTTCGCCTGACTTCGAAATTATAATTAGTAATAATAATACGTAGAGGCTAATAGGGCATTTTAAGCGCTATCATAATAATTTTTGTAAAATATGTTTGTATATTCATAAAACTCAAAAGTACGACTGAAACATTGTCTTCCCAGGGGGATAAATTACTTATCAAAGAATTTATCTTGACAACCGATGTATAGCACTTCTCCCAGATACCCTCACTTGACTTTTTAACTGGTGTATACCTAATTTGGAGCAGTCAAAAATCATATGCTCTTATTTTAGTTAATGCGGCTTAACGCAATAGCATAGACGAAACTTGTGAAACACGGACATGAAAAGAGTATGAAATACTGATTTCAAATATTGTAAAAACATATTGTAAAAAATTGTTTGTTGTGTTCTAATTTAAATAAAATTCGTTTGAAAAGTGCTGAATTATTTTTGCGAAATATTGTAAATTACGGTACTCTGTGAGATGTAAGAAACTCATGAACCAGCATAGCCGGTTACTTCAAATTTTGTGAGTTACCTTCAAAAGTAGACGAGAGCCATGTTACACTTTGGTAAAAGAAAAATTGTTCATCCCCTCGAATCAGAAGTTGTCAGCATTTTATATTTTATAGCTCATGAATGATCCAGTCAAAAAGGTTTAAATTTGTTTCTCTGATAGTTATAACCACACAAAATTTAAAGTTAGTAGCTATTATGGTTCATTATCGGAGCACTCTTAAATCGTTGTAGGTACTATATTTTTCCGAAAACTGGAATTTAGATATTACTGTTTCGGTTTCCTGGTTGCTAAGTAAACAGTGTGTGTATTCTTATATCAATAAAGCGTACATAACGTAATTTTCCTCTTAATTTGTCAATTTTACTTCCTTTTGTACACACAAGAAGAGTTAGATATATGCTAACAAAGGCACAGGTACAAATAATGGTTTCCTACAAGAATCTTGTTGAGAATAGAAATTTTCTCTATATTCTGATGAGGATCTTCACCCTATAAAGAAACTTATTCTTCTCGTGACCTCATAAAATAAATGAATGATTTCATTGCTGACCAGCCTTGCCAGTTTAGGCAAGAACCATGACCAAAAAGAGATAAAAACTGAAGTAAAAATTAGAATAAGAGCCTTTGCTGAAAATAAGAAAAAATTCATAAACGCTCGTTGAAATGACTGGAAAGAAGAACCTTGCAAGAAACTGCATAAGAAAGCCGGTCGATGTCTATGTGTAAAGAAAGGAAAAACGATCACCGCGTGTTCCAAAGTAGAACAAAAACGAGCGATTATGGGTAGTTCTTTCGGAACTGTCCCACATTTACTTGAAGGTTTGCCGGAAAATTCGCGACATATCTCATTTGAAAGAGCATTGAGTTTTGAATGAGGGAAGCGTTGTTTGAAAAATTTTAAAATATCGGCATGTGGTTCGGGGAAGGTGCGACATTTGGTGATTTTATATGTTCCGAGACACAATTCATACCTAATTATCTCAGAAATGACAAAAGCAACAAACATGAACGCTTCATGACATAGACTAGATACGACAAGGAATAAAATGGCTCACTTAAAAGAAATTCAAAATGCTGCATTGCTCTGCTGTACTTGCTCGAAGGTGGTGAAAGTCTTGAAAATCCGTTATACTGGAATGCGTTTTTCATCATCAAATCTAATTAAACTCAAAACTAATATGTGAATCTCCTCGTGGTCAGTTCTATCTAGAAATGTAATTTTTGTTTCCCGCATCGGTTCTGTATGCCTGGTAAGGGCCGCCTTTAACACTTATGCAATCAACTTGTAACAAAAATCTCGATTTTATTATATTTTATATCGAATAAATCTTGGATAGAAAATAGGTCTGTAAACCCTCCCCCCCCCATAATAGAAGACCATCCCCTATTAGAAGACCACTGCCGATTATATGACCTGAAAGTCAAATAGAAGACCAGGTGGTCTTCTATTATGGGGGGGGGGGGGGGTTTTTGGTAAAAAAAAAACGGGAAAAAATTTTAAAAAAAAAAAAAAAAAAAGGGACATTGGT